TTGAATTCAGCAAAAAACCCGAAACATTAATCTTTATTCTAATGGTACATATTCAAACAATGGAGATCATTTGTATAAGATTAAAATTAAATTAAATATTGTATTTAATTAAAATTCAAATTTAAAAATAAATAACATATTCTTACGAAATGGCTTCAAATTGGCCATTCCATGCCCAGCGCAAAAATATATTTTCTTATATTTCTATATGCACGCATATCCATATCTTATATAATTTGATAAAAGTACTAGACTAGAATCAGGGGGTTGAAAATATAATGACATCTTATATTTTGACGAGCAGGCAAGTCATGTTCACTAATTGAAAGGAAAAGGGTTCCTAAATTGATACTGAGATTTAACAAAACGAAATAGGTGTCAAAATGTGTTTTTGGGTAAAAAATGTGTTTTTTGCTGAATTTTTTTTGAAAAATTAAAACATTTTTTTAGAAGTTTTATTTCAGTAAATACAGTCTGGTTGACTATGGAAAAGTGAAAATAAATCTGTTTTGATCGAATTTGGTGATTTTGGGGAGGTTTTAAAGATTTATCTTGTGGTTGTCATAGTGAAATGAATGTAAACTAGAATCAGTGCATTGAATTTATAATGACCTCTTTTTGACGAGCAGGCAAGTTATGTTAACTAATTGAAAGGTAAATGATTTCTCAATTGATACTGAGATTTAACAAGGAAAAATAGGTGTCAAAATGTGTTTGGGTTAAAAATGTGTTTTTCAGAGAATTTTCTTTTTAAATTAAAAAAAAATTTGAAATTTTATTTCAGTAAATAGTACTATAGTCTGGTTGACTATGGAAACATGAAAATAAATCAGTTTTGATCGATTTTGGTGATTTTGGGGAGGTTTAAGAGATTTCTCTTGTGGTTGGCATATAGTGAAATGAATGTAGACTAGAATCAGTGCATTGAAAATATAATGACCTCTTTTTGACGAGCAGGCAAGTCATGTTAACTTATTGAAAGGTAAATGGTTTCTTAATTGATACTGAGATTTAAGGATGCAGTACCGGGTCGGTTTTCACGTCTGTTTGCGCAGGTTTGACTTCCGGTTTGAGAAAGCTAGCTCCCAAGAACGTCATTTTCGCATTTAGTCTTATTCAAAAATTATAGTTAATTTCGATAATGATGTTTCCCTTTCACTTTTGTGGGAAAACTTGTTCTTGAGTCGCAATTAGTGGATACGAAAACCAGGGTTCGAAAGGTGCCAGCTCTATTGAAAACTCAAAAAAAGTAAAAAGATTCATTTTGGGTGGGTAAAATAACTTTTTTATTTTGTAATTACCAGACGGTCAATCCTCTCCATATTGCACTTGGATGATGATAACATCATAGTGATACATTGTAAAAAATATGAGCAAAATCTAATGTCTGGAACTTATTCTACGCTGACCTGGTACTGCATCCTTAACAAGAAGAAATAGGTGTCATAATGTGTTTTGGGGTAAAAATGTGTTTTTTGCAGAAAAAAATTAAACATTAAATGTTTTTTAGAAATTTTATTTTAGTAAATACAATCTGGCTACAGAGTATAAAAAGTGAAAATAAACCATTTTTGATCGATTCTGGGAAGCTTTTAGAGATTTCTCTTGTGGTTGGTATAATATGTGTAGTGGAATAAATAGTCAATTACCAATTCTTTTGCATTACTAATAGAGACAATATTTAATAATGGTTTACTACTCATTCAAATTAGCATTTCACCAAGAAAACAATATATTCTAATTCAATTTTATTCCGTACTACATTCTGTCATATTCCTTCAGTTATATTATTCACATATTCATAAAAGTAAAGAAAATCATACCAAAAAGCATACTTTAATATATTCAAAACCTTTGCAAACACAATGACCAGTTTACTAAATAACACTTTAAAATTGACGTTGATACATACAATGTTATATGGAAACATATTTTCAATTTTCAGTATCATCACCACAGGCTGTCATCAGCCATTTTGAACATTGGGGTGTACCAGGTCGTTTTTACAAGTTTCATTGTTCCACACAATTCCATGCATGATGGATATTGTTGGTACTATCGAGAATTATATTATACTGGTTGTTGTACACTATACTGGTATGTCAGAAATGTATTGTGCCATTTTAACTTTTGTGGCGTTGTACCTTCCCCATTGTTGAAAATATATCATATGATTTATCAATTATCCGTAGAGGTCCTGTTTGGATGTTATGCCTCAATTGTATTTTCAAGGTTCTTTGTATTGTGTTCAACTGTTTCTTTTAAACTTTTTATAACGTTTGTCCATCTGGATTTAGTACAGAAACTGCATACTGTTTTCTGTGTGATAGACCCCACTGTCTGAACCATTGACTACCAAGTCTATTTTGATAGGGAGATGATTGTGAGTGGTGATTATTGGTTCTAGACCATACTAGTTCAATAAAGTCAATCAAACCATAAAAAGTACAATTATCCTAACACTAGATTGGCTGGCAGAGCTCCAACCTGGCACAATGACAAGTTGACCACAACTATTTATGTGGTGATCAACACTGATTGTATTGTTTGAACTAGTTAAGGGATTGAGAATATTATTTTAATTAATTGTCTAATTAGTGCCTTTTGACACCTCGTTCACCATGTTAAATCTCACAAATCTTTTGTTATATATAAGGGAGTATTTTGATATAGGTCTCTTGCCTGCTCGTTAAAATATAAGTACTTTCACTTTCTAGAGGCTTTTATCATCATATGATTCTAGTCTATACGTCCGACAAGAACATTGTTCTTCTCAGCTTCTCAGGTTGATTTGTTGGAAATAATGTCTTTGGCGCTCAAAGCTGCTATAAAACATTTACAATGTGAACCACCGATGATAAATGTCTCATGGCATGTGGACATGCCTCAAATATGAATGTTGGAATTAGTAGAGTAGAAATAATATTTTCTTTTACTGGACATATTTTTGTTTGTATCAGACACATAATATAAGTTTATATGAAAATTGATCATTGAAAATTGATAATGTTTAAGGGAACTTTCTTACATACCTGCAATGTTAATTAACCCGAATCAGCCACCTGGTGGTGGAACTGGTAACCACCTACCCTTATCTGGGTAATTAGAACAACCTGTTGTACATAGTCTATAGATTTGCCTGTACAGTATTTGACCTAATATTTACATACGTTCGTACGTACATATGTAAGTTTTTTTTTTTAATAATTAATTAGAAATTCTGTCATACTTTGAGTTCCAGAACACTATATATAAAGTAATAGCTAGAACGACAGATATCCCTTATTCCATTGGCTTTGGCAATAGAAAGTTAGAAAGAATCCCCTTATATGGACGTGTTGTATTTTGTTAGTAACAGAAGGCTTTCAGCAATTTGTTTGGGGGCTTGCATAACGGGATAACCTCACCAGAACGTTCTAAACAAATGTATCGTCACAGAAACTTTGCATATATACAAGGGGCGACCCATATATTCTGATAAAAATGCTCTAATTTTGTGATTTTTTCACATATCCCTTTCATTTTTTCAGAACTTGTAGATTATGTAATTACACATACAATGTTAAAATATTATAGCTATACCTGAAATTAATTTTGAGATATGGTTGCCATGGTAACCTGTATTTAGGGTAGGCAGGTCAGTTAAATTATAACATTTATAAAATAGATAAATTTGTTAATTTAATCATTCCTTGGTACCTATTTTAAGCAGATCAAAGGCATCCTCAGGTCATTGCCAACTATTCGTTGTTCTGTTCCATACCCCTGTTGCCCTTGTTTGCATATTTCCAGTCTGATAGTTCTCTCTTCATAAATTGCATCTCGAATTATTTTAGTGTTATTCTCTGTCCGCAAGCTCCTCTTGCAACCAGATTGTGGATGATTGTCAACAGTGACCATGCCTTCCTCAAATTTACAATACTATTTAAAGATTCTTGGAGCAGATATAACACGTTGCTGATACACTCTACAAATCCATGTTTGTCTCTGACGGTGTCCTATTCTTGATAGTACATAAAATCTAATGGTACTCCTAATGTATCTGTTAATGTAACACTCTGCATCAGCCACACTAACTTGATCTGATATTTTAATTTTGATTTTTTGTGTGTCTCATGACATGTAATGCCAATATTGCTATTGTGAGTTGTTGTGATGTTATAGTGAGCACAAATAAACATTAGTTTAGCAACAAACAACAACTAGCAGAAATACCAAACTTGTTTAGAAAAAAATATATGATTTCCGCATGCTTTAAAATAATCAAAATAACAAGTTAGTATGATATTTCATGTGTTATAATTGAATTGACCTGCCTACCCTTAATACAGGTTACCATGACAACCATATCTCTTAATTAATTTAGGATATACAAAAATATTCTAGCATTGTATGTGTTATTACATATTCTACATTTTCTGAAAAAATGAGAGGAATATGTGAAAAAATCATGAAATGAGAGCATTTTTATCAGAATATATGGATCGCCCCTTGTACAAGTACATTGTGAATTCTAGACAGCCCTTCAGAGATCTCTTTGCTTTTGATGACAGAACATAAACCCATTTCATGAACGTACTCCGACGGAAACTCTACAAGAACCCCTTGAGGAACAAAGCTTGAATAACAGCTAGAACAAGCTTGCTGAAATCCCATATTCCCTTAATAATTTAACTATTGGTATCTGCATATGCAGCCCAAGCTGTGTCAAGTACCCCTTTGATGTAGCCAAGGACGTCCTTGATGTTGCAAAGCTCATCGTCATTTTAGATGAAATATCGTGTTGTAAACGTTGAATTTATTCATGCTTTGTGTATTGTTCTCAGAGATAATACATTAAGTTCATCAGTCGATACATTTCTCTACCCCCTGATGTTCGAGTAAATGCAACAATATAGCTGCAACAAATTGCAAGTAATCGGGTACTCAAAACAATTAATTATGATGCACTACATTGAAATTATCAGGGGGTTTGGTGGAATGAATAATTATCCAGTGAAATAAGGCAATTGTTTTCATCACTTACACTTTTAGGGTCCAATTTCAGTCATTATATGGCAAACTACTGAGTTTGTATATTTAAGAGGAAAAAGGTAGAAGTTAGGAAGAACAAATTAATATTGATATAAAGGAACGGATTTCTTCAAAATAATTTAGTATAGGGAGTGCAATGTTCGATCGTAAGCCATTTTGTATTCATACTTATTAACAGGACAAGACAATGTTACAATATTTTAATTAGGGTTTTCCAAGTGTCTTTATGCCGCATGTTGGATTTAAGTTCGTGAAAAAATACCCAAAATGTCATAGTGATTATATAAGCTTGTCACGGAGGTTAAATCTACAGAATGTATTTTTTGATAAATGTCATGTAATTCTCTGGCGAAGTATCCTGATTCGTGTGATATAAAAGCCATTTGCAAATGAATTTACAACAAAGGAGTCTATCAAATATAACAAATTGCTCAAATAAACAGTCCTTATTCCCTCGGATTTACAAGTAGGGCAACACATAGACACTTACAATTGGATTATCTCGCATCAATTTATAAGTGTTTCTGCATTTATGCATTACTCGATTATAATAATACTTCATTTCACTTTCAGACTACAAAAGTGACAACAAGTTCGGACGCCTTTCAGCCTCATACAACTACACAATGGCTAACTTTACTCTCTCTGAGTTCCAGAAGAAAAAAATCATGAGGGTTTTCGATATGTTTTATGGTAAGACTTTTTTATGATTTTTTTTTATTTAATATTTTATTTCAGAGAAGAACAACAATTGCAAAAACAATTACAATACAGTTACATGGTAAACGTACATTTTACAACACAATAATTTATTGTACGTTGTATTTGTATTACTTGAATAGATTTTAATCATTGTTCACAATAGCTTCATTCTTTGGCTTGGTATTCCTTAATTTTCTTCTGATAATCATAATAAAAGTTATTATGTGTTTCATCGAAACTATCACGTTACTGATTAGTTGTCCATTCAGATTTCAATTCATGTTATAATCAAAACGCATAAATGAAACATAAATAAGTGGAATGAGGGACACAACCACACAATAGTTTTAAGATGGATTGTGATTTCTAGAGTTCGTCATTATTTAATACATGATCGGGGACCATTATTATTACATTATTTAAGAAATATAGAGTAATATTGTCGAATACACCCGCAGGGCTAGGCACAAATGTTTTCTGTACCCTGAACGACCGAAGGGAGGGAGGGGATCAAAAGCTTTAATGCCTAGTCGTAAGGGGTGTATTCGGCGATATTACACCTCCTCTGAGGTCTATATTACGATTCGAACATGAAAACTCACCAATTAAAATGTTTCGAATATTCATTATGGTCCGTCATTATTACGGTCCGCCGTTATGACGTCACACATTACACGTATTACCAGTGGTAATGTTCGCGAATATACCCCGGGTGAACTGTTGACTTTGTTTACAGTTTATAGAAGGCGTGAATACAGTCATGTTCGAATTATTGTTATTTACGTTGTTTCATTCAAATTCATTGCGAGAATAATAATGTTTATATCAAATATAGAACAATGGCTTTGAAAAATAAATAGACAATACCGTATTTCTAGGGAATGTTATATTTACATAAAATGGGGTAAGTTGCACGACTGACGTTTCGTCTTATTTTTACAAATAAATTGGAAAATGGAGATATTTGCATGCTCGCTAGTAACGCAAGAGTTGGTTGCATTTAATTCAAATTGTATATAGGGCAGGGCTTCCATGGGCTTTGATTAAAGAGATATATTATAATCAAGAGGGATCGGTGTAGTTGAAATGAGCTCATGAAAAAGTCATAAGCGGAACAAAACACTAGGCAGCTAGGATTAACACGGTAATATGTCAAAACAAAAACACAAGTTATAGCTCTGCATTCAAAGAATGATATCCTTTATAGGATTAGGCGATTACAGCTTTCAAGAGAATTATTCAGTAAAGCCATGACAAGTTCGTCGAAATGATTTGGGTTCAGTATAACATACCTAGTCGATACAAGGGTATAGTAAATTATTATATGTCTGCACATTTTGAATTGCTTTAAATAATGCAAAATAATTGCCTTAAAATAATAGGGTATATGTTTGCTATACGAGAAATCATACTTTTTCTTGGTACAATCAGCAATTTGCTCATAATGTATATAGTTATTTTCAACGATATATTATCGATATCTAATTATATAACATAATATGGTGATGGATACATCTAATAGTACGCTGGTACTACGTACCACTTCTTACTCACTTCGAGAGCCATGTTAGATTTTGAAACTTATGGGTCTCCAACGGGGAAATCACACAGCTGAATAATAGTGACCTTTGAAACGTCGATCCGCGGATTACTTTTGTTCTCTAACTATGTCATGCATCATTATCATCCTTCCGTGCAAGTATTGGAGCGCTGAAGTACTTCCTTTTCGATCAAGACTTGTAATTGTTAGTCGAGTGAATGTTTTTACTGCCAATTCCAATATGGCGTTTTCTGCTCGGACATTTTCATAAATCTCCAGATGTTGTCCGAACCTAACTCATTCTCAAAATTCATTTCGTTCGTTGCGTGTCTCGCTCCTAGCAAACCGCCATGTTGGAAATGGGTCGAAAAAACATTCACTCGATGAACAATTCACAAGTCTTGATAGAAAAATAAGTATTTCAGCGCTACAATACTTGCACGAATTGATGATTCTGATGTAAGACACAGTTAGAGACCAAAAGTAAGCCGCGGAAATCTTCATTCATGTTTTAAAGGTCACTATTATTCAGCTGTCCAAGTGCGCCGTGGGAAAGCTATTATATCAAAATCCGAATAGCTTTCGCAGAAAGTAACCCACTGCATAATGCCTTGGTCACATTTGCTCCGATTTTCACTACGGCGCCCGGCCGATTGAGTGTTTTGTTCAAAATTGAATACAATATTGAGCAAAGCACTCAATCGGCCGGGCGCCGGCCGCCGATGGATCGGAGCAAATGTGACCCAGGCATAATATGCCCAAGCCATTTAAAATGAACGCATATCATGGCGCCCTCTAGTATTCTTTGATTACGTCAATCAATGTTTAGTAATTGTTACTCGAGTCTCTAGCCAATACTTGGCTCGAGGTAATTTCATCTGGAATACTGTGAACTCCGTTTGAAAAAATCTGGCTGCCGTGTCATAAATTTATTGAATATTTTAAAAATCGTCAGATAAATAAATCATTAATTAAAACGGAACCGGCTCGGCTCCTTGATGAGATATCACATGATTTGACAAGATGTGAACTAATACACTGATCACTTTATTTGTGTTTTGGAATTTTTGGTGAGGTAATAAGACCAAAACTCACAATTCAAATTGTGATGTGGAAAAATGGCGGACGTATGATTATGATTACGACATGATCAGTTGTTCATGCAGGAATTTATCTTTAATGGAAGGCCACGATACAGTGGCCTTAGAAGAAGGTAAAGTAATTGTATTGTATCTTGTATTTGTAACATATTTTCGATAGGCCCCGTTCTTTATATATTATCTACATAAATCAAATCATAAACCCATGTCATATCGACATACTGTGACGGACGGCAGCAATATTGCAATTCGATACCGGGAATTTGATTCAGTACTAAAACAGTATAATAATGTTTGTTAATCACTCAAAAGCAAATACGTTGAAATCTAGAGGCCAGCAATAAAATAGCCATAAGTACCACAAATTGCCTTGTCGTTTTGCTGATAAGAAGTTAATATTCTAGTTGGGGGTTTATTTTCTTTATGTGCTCTAAATGATTCTTCTTCTCGCTATGTTTTGTAATTGTTTTTTGGATCTCTTGTTAGTTTTAGACAAGTAATTAATATAGTGAAACCATCAATATTGTGGGTACAGGCTAGGGCTGTATTAAACCCTGTACTTTTATGATAAGAATACTGACTGGGACATGTATCCCCTTAATCCGTATGACCATGTTGCTAAATCTAGATTATGTTCCTTATGCAATGATGCAGATGAAACTGTAGTTCACTTTCTTTTCTCTTGTGAAAGCCTAGCACAAGAAAGGGTCCCCTTTTTAGAGTATATTAGAGTTATGAATTACCATGGTCAAGGTTTTAATGCAACCATTGTAAATATCCTTAAACAAGGAGATAATCCTAAATAACTTTATGTAATATTATATCTTAAATAACTATGTAATATTGTACTCATCATTTATCTTGGAATAAAAGATACATAAACATATTAAGGAAAAGAAGCACATACACTCCCCTCCATAAGTTTGGCAACCTTTTCTCCCCCATTGAACTACGTGTTAACGCCTCTTTACCTTTGAATTTTTATTAACTTAACCTGCGATGAAAATACGTATACTATTGATGGAAACGTAATTTGACCTTATTTCCAATACCTCCAAATGTTCTCAATTTTTTCCTGAATTACAATAGGTCGAAAATTAACGATAAATTTGATGAATTTTTGAAAATCGACATTCCCATGTTAACCAATGGGAAATGGTAGGTTTGCCGCAAGTCATGTGACAGAAGATCCATCCATCCGAGTCCTTGCAAAAATACAAGTTGGGTAGGCAGTTGATGTGTGAATGGTATGTGACCATTGATCATGCATTTGTCTTTACTATTTACAGATATCAGCAATGATAAGATAATTGAATGGAAAGACTTCACTATGGCAATCAAGGTAAGTCCACTTTAATTAACTCTTAGTATGAATATTATGTTTAATACGAACAGTACATAAATAGACCAATCCGGTTATCATCACATATCGGTAATTGTGATGCCACTCTAAGGAAACATTTGTGAATACAACTGCCGACTGACGGCTTGACCTCCATGTCATAGGTAATCTGCATAATTTAATTCTGGTCATTTTGAAGTTGAAATAATGATGAAGCCGTCAGTCAACTTACAGTGATGATATGACTTTCTGTGCCACTTTAAGCTAAATTCACACCAACGGCGCTTTAAAGCGCCGTGCAAAGCCGCTTTGCACACCGCTTAAGCATTAAAGCGCCATCAAAGCGCCGTTGGTGTGAACGTAGCTTAAACGAAGATGATCGTTTCAATATAATATTTATTTCAAGAAAATAAGTGATATCCACGAATGGCCAAAGGGCGGGGCACAACAAGAAAACGCCATGCAAACACTCAAGCTCATCTGGGAAGGTCTCAAGAAATACGCCGACGACAATCAGGCAAGTTCAGGACAATTTAGCTTCGAACCAAAACTATCATTTTCTTCTTTACATTGTTATTTGGGTCTGATACTACATGAGCACGCTCATGGGTCGAAGCTCATCCCTTTGTCAACAATGACAGTTACAAAATGTACTATATAAGATAATACTTTTGTCCAGATTATTGGCAAGAAAGCAATTTGAAAGTTATCGAAAGTGAAAGTGACTGTCATACTGTGATGCATATAATCAAAAGTAGTAAACATTTCAATTTGAATTAGAAATACTTCATGGATAAGAACACCACACAGGCACCTTTTCAAAATGATATTTCATATTGAGTTCAGCCCATCATTTATAACTTATTAACACTGCAACACGATGTATGCATTTTCAACCTTATCTATTCAATTGTTCTCTCTCTCTCAGAAATTATTTTAATACAGTCTGTTAATCTGCTTCATGATACTCAGTTGAACCTAAAAAATATGAAATCTAAAGACTGTTGTACAATGGTATTTTGGAAAATATATTTATATTGCACACGCATGACACTTGTCATCTTGGTTTGCTTGTGAATTGGCTTATAAAGTCTGCAACCACAAACATTTTGATGCTTCTCTGCTAGTGTTAATTCTGAAAAATACATGGCTGATAGACCTAAAATTACAAAAGGGCACAAGCGTATTACCCTAAAAACTAAATAATGTGAAATATACAAATATCAGTCGTTTTATATATATTATATGTATATATACATGTATTATTGCACAATATTCTTATTCACAATATTTCTTATTTATTTGGTTCGATGGTTATTATGAAGCAGGTTAACAGACTAGTTTAGTGTATTCATACATATGTTCAAAGTGGTAAAATAAGATAATTTTCTAGTAAATCAATTCTTTGGAATCGAGATTACCTCCATTGGCATCAAGTCCCTTAAATATTCACTTTACTGGACTTTAGGATGACAAGGTGACTGTTGAAGAATGGTTCAAGATGTGGACTGAATGTCTCAAGGCCTCAAAGGAGATGAGTGATCTACCTCCATGGCAGGTGAAATACATGAACTTTATGTTCGATGTCAATGATACTTCAGGTACGTAAGATAAAGAATAAAGGGGTATAGTGAATATTTGAATTTAGATGAAGGGACACGTAAATGAAGGTGGCTTGTATGTACGAACGTTCACTCATTTGCTAAACGTTTTTGTAATGAATCTGAAAAGGAGCTATCACAAATTCTCAATTATGATACTGACTTTGGATGTTAAGATGAACGCAGCAACTCTAGAGTTAGGTAGTATCACTCCACAAGCAAGGTAATATGCCATGCACACTGCACAGACATTTTATATATAGGTTCCTATTTTGATTATCGGTTTACAATTAAACAAAAGGAAGGTATTCCCATCCTTTTAGGAAGCGAGTTACTAATACACTTTAAAGCCTTTAAATCATACTTTTCCAAAGCGACAGACATAGATATGCAATCTTTTGCTCAATCACGTTCGACGATGCATATATGAAACTAATATCCAGAAGCATCCTTGTTGTTTGCTTCAACTTTAGCATCCTTATTGTTTGCTTCAATTTTTTGTCCACTTCATTTTGAACAATGACCTCATGACCATGATCCATAACGGTGTGCATGCTCAAATGTAAACAGAATAGCCTAACAAGAGTAAAGACAAAAACATGTTAGAGAGGTTTCGCACAACTTTTTTTTAGCTCAACATAGCTAAAATTGGTAATGCATTCACCAGATTTATGCGTAGTCGTACAATGAAACCGAGATGCGGTTGCGTATATGTTTTGGCTATAACCCGCGGTACAAAACCTCTATTACAAGTAAAGCACACAGCTAACGTACAGAGAAGCAGTGTATAACATCCACAATACCTCACGATGTCTGTTTCACACTTTGCAGGTGATGATCTGATTGACGTGAATGAATATACTACAGTGTATACGGACTATGGGATCCCCAAGGAGCAATGTGTAGAAGCATTCAACACATTTTCAGATGTAAGTTAGTTCAGTTCAGTTCAGTTCAGTTCAGTGTCTTTATTTCCTCCACATAGGTGAAGATTTAAACATTACATATAATTACAGACAATTCACATTAACAGATTATTTACATTTGTACATATGGTTACATATAGATTTACATTTAGAGTTTTTACATTTCTGTTTGTTTGATAACTGTTTTCACCATTAGATCAATGTAATATGCACTATTCAATAGGTCACGTCTTACGGTTTAAAGTTCTACGCTACCCCTACGCTACCCGGTTCTGAGCTCGTGAACTACGTTCCTTGCGCTCGAACCACGATTCTCACGTCTCGAACGTGAAGTCTTTAGTCACGCACCACTATTTCCCCGCTCCTAAACGTATTTCTCCACTCGCGAACAGAGATCCGTGCCCGCGAACAATTTGTACATAGTGCATTCGGGTATTTGGGATTCCAATTGCAAGCAACAACAGGAGACTGGTTGCAGTTTACATTGACCCTCATACATGTACACATGTATTTCAATAGAGTCATAAAGTCTCGCAGCCAATGAAAAGGCATGTTTTTGTTTTATTACCCAGCCCTTTCATCACGGGGTACCATCGAATAATTTTGGCAACGTACCGGAGAACGACATTTTACTAAAAATGGCAATAATTTAGCACAAAACTTTATTTTTTAAATTATATAATTCAACTGATCTGCTCCGGTTACGTTCCCAGCTCCGGTTACGTTCCTAAGTAATATTTTTAAAACTTTTTTTTAATTGAACAAATCAGAGTCGTGTGAATCAGAAATAACAGAATTATTCAATAGTATAAGGACTATTCTGTACTTTTTTCAAAGGTCTATACTTAAATGTTGTAAAAAGTTATAATCGAAAAACCATCTTTCGGAGTAAAGTCCGTCTGCGCCGATTTCAATAACTTCGTACTTGATCAGAACTGGGTTCCAACAGAATTCCTACAAACTCATGAATGAAATAGTTATTGCATGGAATACTAACTTTTGTCAAAATCAAAATAGAACTCTAGTTAAAAAATATATTGTGCTAAATTATTGCCATTTCTTAGTAAAATGTCGTTCTTCGGTACGTTGCCAAAATTATTCGATGGTACCCCGTGTTCATGAAGGGTAACATGCATGAAAACTGGGAAAATATTTCTTACGAATTCCAAATAAAAACACTTCGTTGTAATTTTAGTTATGCGTAATAATACGAAACAATTACTGACTTTTCGATCAGGTGTGTGGTTCGCGAGCACGGATCTCTGTTTGCAAGTGGAGAAATTTGTTCGGGACCAAGGAAATGGCAGTGCGCGACTAAAGATTTCTCGTTCGCGACATGAGAATCGTTGTTCGAGCGTAAGGAACGTAGTTCGCGAGCTCAGAACTGATGTTCGCGTTGTTGGAAGTCAAGGAGGCCTGGAATATGAATATTGAAAATCCGTGAAATGAGCCACGAGAAATTATAATCTATTACGACTCTATCTGATGTATTCCTGAGCGTTGAGCGTGTTACGCGGTAAACACGATACAAAAATATGTCATATTCCGCAACGAATATGGCATATTCACTTGCGGTGTATGACAAGATTCACCTGCGGTATATGGCATACACACTTAGCGATGAGAACGTGATACGGAAGTACACAATTGTCAATTGCATCAATTGAACGAACAAGTAAAAATTATTATAATGATTACTGAATCAACAGTACTGTGTATCGAATATATTAACTTAGCAGAAGTATCAGTCACCAATCTCGCGTCATAAACTTACTCAATCAATCCAGGATTCATATATTAATACTCGACGCACTAACTATATTGGTAATCCAGCGTAGTTTTGCATTTAGAGTCGATTCTCGCAACCAATCAAATCAAGGCTTTCTGTATCACGTTTTCACCTGTGGTATATGTCATATTCACCTGCGGTATATGGCACATTCCGCAAGTGAGTATTCCGCAGGTGATCATGAGTATCGGATATTCACTGAAATCAATGTATCGCATATTCACTGCGGAATATCGCATACTCACCTGCGGAATATGCCATATACCACAGGTGAGTATGGCATATTCACCTGTATCACAAATACCGCGCAACCATGAATGTATGCCATATACCGCGTAACAGAGCGTCAATGGCTGGTCGGAGAATGTGATCCTAAATAGATTCCAGCTACATTATGACTGTATGTAAACGGACCGGGGAGATATATTATTACAGAAACTCCATTGCGAGCTTCAGATAACGATTCTGACATCACAATCCAGTAATTGCTTTCCGAAATGGATGTCTCAAAGGGATTACTGCATGGCCATACAATAGTCACGGTTAAGTGTTTTATAGACGTCAAAGAATCACTTTTGTATTTTATACAGAAGTAATTTCAGAATAGTCAGTATGTTATTTTACATGTTAAATTTCAATGATTACATACACTTTTATTTCAACATTTTTCATTACAATTTGATACACACTATCACAACCCATTCTTTTATACGTCGTAGCACCGGAAGTTTACGACGTTATACAAGTATTTTCGGCGGGAGATTTGTAAGTTCTCATTTGTTTCGACGTTTTGAGAATATGGTTCTTTCCCTTTCGCAAAAACATTGACCATACCATGCAGATATACCTCTAGTATCACTACGTCTCATCATTTCGTCCGAACACGGTATAAAATCTCTCAAACCTTCTAGAAAGCACAATCTTTTTGAAAAAATGATCATTGTTCACAAAAATCTTTACAGTTTCTATAATTCTAACTGTTCAAAACACTTCAGTTTCCCAAAATCAATGAAAGAATTCCGAGAAATTAATTTTTCTTTCTTTTCGTACACTTTCAAAGAAAAAGTAATTTTTCTTTCTTTTCGTACACTTTCAAAGAAAAATTTATTTCCCCGGAATTCTTTTATTGATTTGGGAAACTGAGTGCCTGGATGATATGTAAAAATTGTATTGTTAATCTTATCAATAGTTCACGATGATAGGGCTAAAATTGTAGAAACTATGATGATTTTCGTGAAAAATTATCATTGTTCTTTCAAGAAATTGTCGTGCTTTCTAGAAGGTTTAAGAAGTTAATATACCGTGTCCAGACGAAATGTCGAGACGTAGTGATACTAGAGGTATATCTGCATGGTATGGTCAATGTCTCTACATAAGGGAAAGGACCATATTCTGTCAAAACGTCGAAATAAATGATTATTTACAAAGCTCCCGCGGAAAATACTCGGTATAACGTCGTAAACTTCCGGTGCTAATGGGTTGTGACTATACTGCATCATTTTTTATTTTTTCCAACAAATTTAAAATACTTGTTTATACAGTATCTGCAAAGAACTACACAACAGAACGTTTACAATATTACAATTTATAACATACTGTATTCAAAAACACACAAATAACCTACAAATAAACATGTTTGGCAAAGGGAATACATCCACCAGGGTATTAGCTACAGACGAACCCGTTTGCGAGGTGAAGACGATATAATTTCTCCTCATGATAAGGCTAAAGTATACTCTAAGTTATATGTCATGGATATGATATAATGAATCATATAGCTTAACGTATACTCCAGAACTTATATACACTATAATGAGAACTTATATATAATATAAGGAGAACTATATAAACTATAAGGATACCTTATAAACAATATAAGGAGTAAGTAAAATACAATAAACGCCACCTCTCAAACATGAAATCATGTTAAAATCTTTGGGGTAAGCCCAAAAATAAATTACCTTATAGTAGTTTGTATTCCCCAAATACTTGTTAAACAAAATTTGCATGGTATGTATACATACCATGTATTGATTTTACAACCCATTCAAAGACAGAGAGAAGAATTACAAAATTAGACGCTTTTTGATACAATCGTGAACTCTTTATTTGTCTTTATGTATAATGCGTATATTAAGATTAACTTGTTTTCATGTTATTTTTTTATTTAGTATTGTTACATGGATCTTTTTGCTATATGTTAGTCTTGTTGATTGGTACCTGAATGTGTTGTGTTGATTTTATGATTTTGTTTTGCAGATAAGCCGCTCTTCAACATTGTAAAAAATAATTAGACTAATGTGAAAATATTGGATATTATTACATGTTAGAGAGCGGTGCAAAATATTCTTTCAAATACGTTGTTTTGTGTATTTACAGAACGGGAAGGTGAAGATAACGCGAACTGAGTTTGGAAAACTTTGGGCTGAGTACTTCCTCTCTGATGACAGATCAGCCAAAGGAAACTTTTTGTTTGGTCCACTGGACTTTTAAATACAACTTATATTTGAATCTCATTTTTCACATTTTCGTATTGTAGTTTTCTTGAACTGTACGAGTATTTATATTATGTATGTATAACCGGAAATGCTCTGGACTAAATATGCTGTATATATGTGTTTATGCGATATATGCATATTATGAAGTTTTACGAATGCGAAACATAATCTATTGTGAAGGGGATGAGATATTATAAGCCAAGGAACACTTACATGCAGAAAACCACAATGGTGCCTATAATTCCCTCGTAAGCTGGTGTCAATAGCAAAACATTTCGATCACCTAGACTAGATTTTATATATCGGAAAATACGCTGTATAGCATCATGATAAACCATGACATCTTATTTCTTCTCAGCCCTGAGGTGTTTCTGGTGAAACAGAAAGATGCTATGAGTATAAGAATGGATGTATAGCGAGATTAGCGATTCCCTACAGGGTGATACCATACATAAGACTGTTTAAATGTCCCTAGGTAGCATTCTCTTCTTCAACACTATCACTGATAATTAACAAAGGATGGTGCAAAACTAGTGCAGCGGCAGATATGATGTTAAGTGACGTTAATACTAAGGTCGTTGTGATATCTTTTGAATCAAAATGTCAAAACAGTATCAATTCATATCAACACATATCATATTTGAGGCACACATAGTAGCCCGGACAGAATTGTTCAAGGGTCACCTTTTCTTTAATATATTTTTTTAATTTTCAGTATTATCAAAAACCAATAACATATTTGAAAACTTGATTAAAATGCTGAAATACAAAAAAGATATCTAAGGAACATCTCTTAACTAATTAATATTATAGGTGGTCAAAGTATGAGTGACGCAAATACATATTTCACTATTTTTTATGAATGTTCAGTTGAAAGTTTGTATTCAAGAAGTGTCATAAGCCTATATGGTCATGCTGCCACCGTTACGATCTTGATGTGATTCAGCAAATGACCAAATTCAAATAGCCTACAAAAAGTTTTACTCCTTTCAAAGGCTCATGACCTCAACTCTATTGAAATGTTTGTGGGTTGTGCTCAAGAGGATGTGAACAGGTGGGGCCCCAATACGCGGGATGTGATGAGAATGGGTCCCCAATCCTTTCAAGAGGCCCATCCAGCCATCTCAGAGGGCCTTGAAAAGCTGAAGAACAATTCACGTGCATTCCAAGGATGGTTAAGACATTAAAATACGGTAGCAGCATAACCCTATAGCTGCACGGGTTAAACAAACTAAGCTGCTAATCCACTACTGGTAACAATGGAATGGCTATAAACAAAAACGTTAAGTCCCGCAACCCTACCAATATACACGTACTGTACATACAATATACGAACTTTTTCAGATATACATTCCAGTCAATTTAAAATAAGAGCTTTTTAATGCAGTAATACCAAAGCAGCAGTCTTCATGAATTCATATACCTATGACATTTCTTAGATATTAACTTTCAACTGAACATTCAAATTCACAAAACATGCTGCCATTTTTGAACAAATATGAAACAAAATGATGAATTTTGTATTTGCGTCACTCATACTATAAATGGCTATAATATTAATATAGTAAGAGATGTTTAACACGGTCAAAAGATATCTAATAGATATCTTTTGTGTTGTTTTCAAATGTGTCATTGGTTTTTGATAATACTGAATATTAAAAAGTTATTAAAGGAAAACTGACCCTTGGGCCATTCTGTGGGGGCTACTATGCACAACTGCATTGAATATACCATATCATCGACATATTATACAGCTGCAAATATATCATTATATCAACGATGTTATTAAGCTAATTAGAATTAACACAGTTAGGGAATGCTTTAATTTTTTCAGAGGAGACCGGGGGAAGGGATTACTTTAAAATGTTGTCAATTGCTCTATATCCATTCCCTTATAGATAAATATGAAGTTTGTTGATTATTGGCTCACATTGGCGAGCTATTGTTATCACCCATCTATCTGTCTGTCTGTCCGTCCGTCAGTCCGTCCGTCCGTTCATATGTCTGTCCGTCTGCCTGTCAACACATTGGTAGCTAATAAAGAAATCCTCCAGGACGAATTCACTTTCAAAATGTGTCTACATAAGGTCGTCAGTTGTTCCATAAGTGGTATCTCAAAAGCTCGCCTTGTTTCAAAATGGTGGCCAATTTTTACTCACAAAAAATCAGGTTTCAGTTTTGGTTATAACTCAAGTTTTTCACAAATTTGCTTGAAATTATACAGGTACCTTTATTTCTAGATTATCAACAATGTCTACAAGTTTCTTCTTTCAAAATGGCTACAATTTCCTTTTAGAGCAACACAATGTAAGCCCAGTACCCACGGTACTATTTTATATATTACTTAGTAACAATATTTCATATTCATATACTATATTTAGACGTATAAACTGATGGTCCACCATGGTTAGGTCATTGGACAGGTACCATCATTAACTCACCAGGACTTGCAGTAGGGGCGTCATTGATTATAAGTTGCCAAGTCTTGTAAATATTGTAAAGCTTTTTTATCACTATAAGCGTGATTATATTTTGCTATTTTACATCTGAAATCAATGTAAATTGTTTTGGTGTTAATAAACATAACTTTACATGTGTTTAATATCATTTTTTTTATTTAAGGGTTTGAGGCAATTCCTAAAATGATTGAACATTACTGCGATGACATCAGCTATATAGCAATGCAAATCGTTGAGGAAATGTATTTATTATCCAAGTAATATACAACGGATACATACTCATACATTGAGTAATGTATGTATATGGCTAATCCAATCCATATTTCAATTGTTGAGAGATAGCTATTATTGTGGTATGGCTGCAATCACGACGGTGTCTCCGGGAAGGGCTCGTGATCCCCGAAATGTCACAATTACTGACTTTACATCAATTCGCCATCAATTTGATTTCACGTTTGAACCTCCTATAGAATGAGCTTTGACACGAGGAGTTTCCAATCATGTTAATAGATCGCGATATTCATCTCAAATACCTACCACATCACTTCCATTGCAATAATGACGATCTTGCTCTTACTCGCCCGAAATAATTATATTAACTAGGTATTCAGTTCTAATGATATTGTAACGTTTGACTTATTTGCTTCACTCCCACGTGAGTTCACTAATTTTCACAACAGAAGGAACATTTCTTATCTTATTCTGTAAAGGTTTCTTGACAATCACCATGGCATTACTAACGTTGCGTTTACTATGGTAACCATTGCCATGGAACTGTGGAGCACCTGAACAACTCTTATGTTTAATCACAGATAAGCGATCGTTACATTTAAAGTTCAAACTTAAGATTGGTCGTCCTATTTATACAAAACTATTGAACTTATGTACAAGTACATGTATCTTGTGACAATATCGCCATCGAACAATGTAATGAATACTAAAAGCTATGCATCGTGTTTGCTTGGTTTTGCCTTATTTTGCCTAATAAATAATGACGCTCACACTACGGATATATTCCCTAGGATGTTTGTCAAGATAAATAAGCCTTCGCAGAGCAGAGCATCCAGGGTATCGTTCAATCATTTGAAAAGTGTCTGACATCAGAAAAGCACTTTGCTGTTATTAATTCATTTGATGGCGTCGCGTCATTATTACAACATCATTCTGTTCTCGTTGCTGATTTTATCGAAGCATCCTGTACCAGGTCGTTCACAAGTTCATAAGTGAGCTGTTTTAGCTCATGTGTGTACAATCACTCCATCACGTCTACAAGAGTGACGAAAGGGTGTTTACTATGTCTGTCCTTTATGTTTTTGTAAAACGTCTCCCATAGTCATCCTATACTCACAAGCAAACAAATCATGAGTCAAAATGCACATAATGTTCGTTGTTTTTGCTGAATCTGCTTAGTCTTAAGCCCTTAGAAGGGGGTAGCCTCACAATATCAAAACATACCCACAACATATCTGGAAAACTTGTAAATCACCTCATAACGTCGCTCTAGCAAGTGTTCTGCCTGCTTGTCTATATGTCTCGTTTGTCAGTCAAAATTCATGGCACATTTATAGTATAGGAACGCCTATTTTCAAAATGGCCGCATTCATTGCCGAAAATCGTGTTGCAGATCGTTTTAGCCAAAACTCAATCAATATGCTTGTCACCATACAGGTACTTTGTTTTGTTGGTTACAATGATGCATGTCTTTACGGTTTGGAAATAGATTCAATATTATCATATTACTTTTATTGTTGAAATATCAGTCGTTGTGTTACTTATATTATTGAAATAGCACAAGCCGTTAATTAGGGATTACTCAACAGAGGGCGCTAGTGAAAAGGTACAAGGCAAAAAATCTAAATCAAAAATTGGGATGATGGTTAACTGAAATCAAGATTTATCAGTGCAATCACCAGTGAAAATGTACGGAATTTACATTTTATTTTGTTTTTATTATGTGGATATAATTTTACAAAAAGTATGACGAAATAATTCGGCTCACTTCAAATATTTGACTTTTTGTGATGGTGGTCTTAAGTTTGAAATATAGTGATAATTGTTTAAAATTCGAATAGATGGCGGAAAAAGCGGTCATATCTTTTGTTCTCAATGGGTGATCTATGATAATTTTTTTTGTTTGAAAGGGGACATATGGGGCTATCCCGTATATATATATAGATTATCCTATATGAGGTTCAGGATATTGGGATTATCCCGAGGCCAATATAATATATCTGCCCGAGGGCCGTAGGTCCCGAGGGTAGATATATTATATTGGCCAAGGGATAATCCAAATATCCTGAACCGACTATAGGATGATCTGTTTATCCCATACCAATCACATTGTTCAATTTGCCAAAGTTCAGAAACTTTGCGACCAACAGTGGAATATTCTTAAAATATTCATGTCCAGTTTTGTATTCCTGTTTCTTTCCTATTCAAATCTTTGATTATTAACGCCGGTACACTGCTCCTTCCCTTCTTTAAAGGATCAAACAGGTCGAGATTGTCTGCGTTTTTCTCCATTGTCGTTTACAGTATGCGAACGTTACAAAAAAGAACCAATACGGGAACAGCGATTATGACGTAGCGGGCAGATATACTATATCTGCCCGCTCGGAGCGGGACGTAAAGCTATATCTGCCCGCTGATGAAAATATAAGTTTTTACAAACCGGCTTTATGTACCCGTAACACGTCCAAGTATGGGATAAAAGTTTTTACAAACCGGCTTTATGTACCCGTAACACGTCCAAGTATGGGATAAATATGGTATATATATGGTATATAGGGTATATAGGGTTATGTTAAGTCATTTTTATCTAGAAGTCTGCCAAGCAACGATGATGGAAGTCAGCATAGTATCTCCGACAATACTTCCTTAACAGAGGGTATTTTGTCAAGAAACTCCAATACGGTTATACAGGG